GGGATTGACCGTCACATTATAACGCTCCCACGGCTGAAAGGGACGGGGATTCGAACCCGCGAACCTCAGATTGCGAATCGAGCGCTTTAACCACCTGGCTATGCCGGGCCAGCGAAAGGAGATGCCCACTTGCGCACAAGTGGCCAAAATATGTTCAAAAACAACCCATCTATTTGAGGCAACTGACACCGTAAAATATGTTAATTATTCTGAAAGGTCATCTCTATATGCGGAAACAGTAACAGGTTAAACATCCTATTTGTCCGACAAGTGGAAGAGGTACTGCCCGAAGACTTGACCTGCCACCAACAACAATGTGAAAAAATTTGAGGACCAGGAACCCACTTTTTTAGACAATAAAGGTTTGAGATTGTTTGAATGGATTGTGAGGGAAACTTTATTTCAAATGTACAACGTTTCGACAAGTTTATGTCATCATAGACATAGGAATGGCCCAGCATGGCTAGATGGTTAGGGCACTCGGCTCGCAATCTGAGGGTCGCGGGTTCGAATCCCCGTCATACCGAAACATGCTCACCCGGTGTCCGAACTACTCCAACAAAATTTGGAGGTGAGAGAAACACCATACGAAACTACTGGACATAGAAATGTAGATACATAAACAGTAAGGAACAAAGAGGTCACATGACTGGAGATTGCTTAATAGCTTAGTAAAGGCATTTTGGTACCCAGGTGTGTTAGTTTAGAATAGAGCAGTATTTATTTGTTTTATTTAATTTCACACACAGCTACTTCGAGGGTTATCTGCGCTAGCCGTCCACAATTTTGAAGCGATAGACTAGAGGGAAGGCAGCTAGACATCACCACCCACCGTCAACTCTTGGGTTACTCTTTTACCAACGAATAGTGGGCTTGACCGTCACGTTATAGTGCCCCCGACATATTAAAGGGCGAGAATGTTCGGTGATAGGTTTCGATCCCTCGACTCCTAGATTATAAGTCGAGCGCTCTAGCTAGATCAAACACTAAATGTCAAAGCTTTTCACTATAGTCGCCAACATGTCGATAAGGTTGGTGATCCATCATTGCGACTTAATTTTGCACATTGGGTTTAACCAGGTTGATGGTTGATTAAATATCTCTAAAAATTCGTCTATTGAACAGATGGAACTCGTATTCATCTTAGTGGATATGTCCACTCAAGAAATGCCGTGTCTTTCGCTCCTGAAAACCCACGCGCAGTTTATCAGAAGCATACTCTGATAATGCTGCGACTTCACCAGCATTTTAATCTTTGATCTTTAGTGCTTGAAGCTGCTTATAAAACACTTCGTGCCTAAATTATTTCAATAAATAGAGTACTTTTAAGAAGGAAACTATATGGGGGAGCCAGTCATTAAGAACATCATGAACTTCCTATGTTATTCAACGCCTGGGGGAGCCAGTCATTAAGAACATCGCCAACTTCCTATGTTATTCAACGCCTGGGGGAGCCAGTCATTAAGAACATCGTCAACTTCCTATGTTATTCAACGCCTGGGGAACCAGTCATTAAGAACATCGTCAACTTCCAAGAAGACGAAGAAGGTACTCTGAAGTCAGTTCCATCAGACAGAAATAATTGGCAGAACCCCGAAAAAAAAAAACACCACCAGAAATTGGATTGCAACGATCACAGGACTCTGCTGCTTTCCGTAGCTTCATTTATGGATATGTTAGATATGTTAATACTTAAGAATGACGAAAAGCGTATCGAACACCTACTGTGACATTTATCCAAACTCTCTTGAACAATACTCATGATTCTCAGTGCACCTCGGATGAAACTTAGGCTTATCACAAGTAGTTTTTGAAGTATAATAAATCGAAACATTTAGTTTTCCATATAATCATCCAGTTTTTGATAGAAACGAACTACAATAATTACACCAAATTATTGAAGCACCAAACCAATTTCACAGATCGTTTAAAAATAAGTGTTGGGTCATAGATGAACATTTGGCATTTGGAAACAGTGTTGCGACACAACTGAACATTTCGGATTAATCTTAAAAGAAATCTTTTTGGCTAACCAAACTTTATCACAGTGTCATGTGATCAACGAAACTCGTGAAACTTGAATTTCTCCCTTCAAAAAATAAAAAATGCCAACATGGTCATTCAGAGGTTTGACTGACCTTTTTACTTTATGCTTTGACCATTTTCTCGTTTTAGTTTACGAATTTAAACAAACTGATAAAATTATTTTCTAAACGAACTTCCATTATAACAGGGTCTGGCAAGGGGGTGCTCGACTCGCAATCTATGAGTTGTGGATTAGAATTTCCGTCACTGAACATGCTCACCCTTTTAGACATGGGGAGGGGGCAGAGTGGCACAGTTGTATGTCTACGGACTTATACCGCTAGAAACCGGGTTTCGATACCCGTGGTGGTCAGGGCACAGATAGCCCTTTGTGTAGCTTTGCGCTTAATAACAAACAACAACAGTCATTGGGGCGTTATAATGTGACGGGCAATCCCACTTTTCGTTTGTAAAAGAGTAGCCCAAGAGTTGGCGGTGGGTAGTATTGACTATAGCTGCTTTCCCTCCAGTCTATCATTGCTAATTTAGGAACGGCTAGCGCGTATAGCCCTCGTGTATCTTTGCGCGAAATTCAAACCAAACCCAAACCCTTGCAACAGAATTTTAGAACGAACCAGCACTTAAGAAATCTTTTTATAACTGCCATTTATATATGCATATATTATAACTGCATAGCTTAAATTACCTAAATACCATTTAATTGATAAGAAAAAATTAACCCTAGTTACTGACGGGGACTATCGGCTTTTGGAATATATTATTCTAAACTAATTATGCATCAAGTTTCCTATGGGTCCATGACTTTGTTAGAGTGTCACTTTACATTCTTAAATGACTCGTATTACATTTTTAGGCTTCACGTAGGCCTACCTATCGAACGCTATAAAAACAAGTTGGTAATTTAAGGGTTAAGATATTTTAACGTGGTAACTAAATTTGTCTTTTTTTGTTGTTGTTGTTACATAATAGCTGACTTTGTCAAATATTTATTTGCGAAACAATCTTAAAATTTGCATATAGATAATTGATGACGATTTACTATTTTGTAGAATGTTAAACTTCGAATTTTCCGTTATATTGGTGAGTAGAACCAAGCGAGTATCCGGAAGTATTGTTGGGTCATTGTTGACGTCATCCACTGCCAGTTCTGCTGCCAAACGATTCCACGTCTTGGTTGCTCGAAAAATGATCCCTGTGTGTTGAACAACCTTTGTTTATTATAACCGATAAAATTAGGCCAAATATTTCAATTTTCAACAATAAAGTAAGTGTAGGATTAACTCGTATTGTGATCGTATTTGTTCTTTGTTTTGATTATACCGATTATTGTTTGAAGCTAAACTTTCCTGTTTCACTTAGGCCTAAATTTATGTCTTGAACTTTCTGGCTTACTACGAATTGAAATTTTCAACCTTAAAATACTGAATGCGCGTGCAGGCTAAGTGGCCAGATCAGAGACCATAGGACCAGTGGTGGGATTCAGCCGGTTCGCACCGGTTCGTGCGAACCTGTTCTTAGAATTTAATGACCTC